ATTAAAAAATGTAATAGTGCCATATGTAAATTAAAATTATTTAAATTACCGCTTTCAGGAGAAGGTGATGCTGATCTCATACGGGAAACTTATGAACGTGCCATTTCAAATGTGCCACCTGCAAATGAGAAAAACTACTGGCGCCGCTATATTTATCTATGGATTAACTATGCCCTGTATGAAGAACTTGAAACCGAAGATTTGGAACGCACCCGCCAAATATACAAAACCTGCCTAGAGTTGATACCACATAAAAAGTTTACCTTTAGTAAAATATGGCTTATGTATGCTCAATTCGAAATAAGATGTAAAGATTTACAAAAGGCACGTAAAACTTTAGGTATGGCTATTGGTATGTGTCCCAGAGATAAACTATTCCGAGGCTATATAGAACTTGAAATACAGTTGCGTGAGTTTGATCGTTGTCGTTTGCTGTATGAGAAATTTTTGGAATTTGGACCAGAAAACTGTGTGACCTGGATGAAATTTGCTGAATTGGAAAATCTATTGGGTGACACAGAACGCGCTAGAGCCATCTACGAATTGGCAGTACAACAACCGCGTCTAGATATGCCCGAACTGCTGTGGAAGGCTTATATTGACTTTGAAGTTGCTCAAGGTGAATCCGAATTGGCACGCCAGCTCTATGAAAGACTATTGGAGAGAACGCAACACGTTAAGGTTTGGATGTCTTATGCTAAATTTGAGTTAACTTCACAGTTGGGAGAAGATGATGCAGACATGAATCTACGATTGGCCCGTAGAGTTTATGAAAGAGCTAATGATACTTTACGTCAATTGGGCGATAAGGAATCTAGAGTTTTACTTTTGGAAGCTTGGCGTGACTTTGAACGCGAGTCGGGTGATCAGGACAGTTTGGAAAAAGTTATGGAGAAAATGCCCAGACGTGTCAAGAAAAGACAAAAGATTATTTCGGAATCCGGTGTGGAAGAGGGTTGGGAAGAAGTATTCGATTACATATTCCCCGAGGATGAAATGGCCAGACCTAATCTTAAACTTTTGGCGGCCGCTAAAATGTGGAAAAAACTTAAAGAAACTGGCGCTAGCACTACAGAAACACAAACGAATTTTGAAGCCACTAGTGTGGAAAGCAATAAAACTGGTTATGAAGCAGAAGCCAAAGAACCGGAAAATAATGCTAACAGCGATACACCGGCAAATGCGGAAGAGTCTGAAAGTAGAGAGGATAAGGATAATGAGAATGCGTCACCTAAGCAAACTGCTGCTAATAATAATGATAATTCTCCAAATGCAGGCTAATATACAGAAGGCATTTGTTTATTTAGTTTTAAGTAAGGTAATTAATAAAATTTATAATTTTATTTACTTTATTTTTTTTGCAACAAGTGCTTGGTTAAATATTCTTGTGAAATGAAGTGAAGCAGTGAAGTGAAGTGTGTTACTAAATTTTAACAAAAACAATTAATTTTTGTCATCAATAAATGTTGGTCGAGCAAAATCTGGAAAATCCAAGATGATGTTTCTCAAGCAATATATTTTAACAAACAATTGCAACTAAAAGCATAATGTGTAAATACTTTGTAGGCAACAGACTCTATTAAAGGGTAATTATTTAAAGCGCATTAATAGAGTAAATGTGGAATAAGCGTATTTCATTAGCTGCAATAAAAAATTTAATTAATAAATAAAACCATTTGCTATAAACTCAACTTCACCTGCACAAATGTGGGCAAATCAACTGGTATATAAGAGCCAGCATAAATAATCGAATGTCTTTGCGTGCGCATCAAAGTTATCAACAAATTCTTTTTAAAACTAGGCTCCTGAGCCAACCAGCCACAAGAATAGAAGGCATAAGTTAAATTCCAACTTTGAGTACTCATGCAATGACCAAAATAGCATATAATAAACACCTCCAAAGTAACAGCTACAAAGAAGATTATCGATAGAATTTGAGCACTATAATCAGCAGCATCCACAACATATAGAAAGTGTAAACCAACGGTGCACTGAACCAAAGCCGAACAAACAAATTGAGCTAGACAAGCTTTCGAAATGATATTTTCAATAATGGTAAATAGTCTAGATAAAGAATTAATTAGAATATTTAAAATTAAAGGGAAAAAATTAGAAATACTTTAAGATATTGTTATAATCCTTAATACATGCATTAAATTCATGTAAGTTTCTCAAACGTTCCTCTTTAGTTAGCCATACATGTTCTTCTTCGTCTTCCTTACGACCTATAGCTCTAACACGCACCTCCAAAGCTTTCATTTGAGCCGTTAATATAATAAGATACGCGGGAGGATAGGAATCATTAGCACAATTTTGTAATGCTTGTACAATAAGACCAAACAATTGATAGATCATTACTATGATATACATAAAAGTATTATCAAACCAATTGACTCCAAACCAGGCAGGATATAATAAACAACGTTCTTGGGCAAATATAACCTTGAAAATACTTAAACCTGTACCCACCATATACAGGCGCACGAATATTAAAAATGATAATTGCGAAATTCTAATGGCATCTTTGAGAATTTTCTGTTCTTCCAAATTGTTAGCTCTCCTATCCAGCTTACCCAGTATAGCCTTAATTCTTTCCAAATCCTTACGCACCAAATAAACATTAAGAAATTTCAAATTAGCTATAGTATCCGTTATGGTAATGGTTAAATTTTCACACAATTGTTGGGTATTTTGAGCGAAAAATACATTAACAATTAAGGTCAAAGGAAATAGAAAGGTGACCACAAAGTTTATAACCACTGCATAAATGCGATAGACTTGTAAATTGCTCTGCTTAGGAGCTTTAATACCCATCCAATGCCATACTTTCCAATGATAGTAAAAAGCCATATTAGTATCTGGTTGCTGACCGCTAAGTTCCATAATAGTTAATCTTTTCACTTTGAATTTCCAGGAGGTTTTAATTTCAAATGAAGGAATGTAGCAATATTTTATTCTTTAATTGGAATTGTAGTTTTGTTATAAAACTTTTGTGCAATAATTTGCATAATAGTTTTTAACTGTATGTATTTGCAAACAATTGTTTTAATTAGAAAAGTTTAATAATTTAATTAAATTGTTTTAAATTATTATTTTGTAAATGTAATGGACATGAAATCTTCTTTATATTAGAAGGAAAACACTTAAGTATAAAATGTTCGAAAATTAGAACTTGTTTTCGAATTTGTTTAAATCTCTAGATTTTTTATTTTTATTTTCCAACTTCAAAATCTAAACATTTTCTGGAAATTTTAAATATTTTTAACAAAGTTTGTGAATATAAGCTTTTTAGGTTATGTTCGAACATTTTCGAAAATTCGAACTTATATTCGAAAAAATTTTAAATTTGTTAAAATAATTCCTAAAAATACAGTTTTAGTTTTATTCGACCACAATATTTTTGTATTTTCCACTTTCGAACTTAAAATTTTTGAAAATAATTCAATAATTTTCTAGAATTTTGAAGTATTTTTAATATAGGTTATGAATATAAGCATTTTAGGTTATGTTCGAAAATTTTCTAAAATTCGAAAAAATTTTAAAGTTGTTAAAATAATATACAGATCATGAGGGTTTATTAAAACACAATTTTAGTTTTATTCGAACACAATATTTTTGTATTTTTCACTATCGAACTTTAAAATTTTGAAAATAATAGTGAATTTTTAATGAAGGTTATGAATATAAGCATTTTAGGTTATGTTCGAAAATTTTCTAAAATTCGAACTTAAGTTCGAAAAAATTTTAAAATTGTTTAAATAATATACAGATCATGAGGCTTTATTAAAATACAATTTTAGTTTTATTCGAACACAATATTTTTGTATTTTCCACTTTCGAACTTTAAAATTTTGAAAATAATAACAACATTTTCCTGAATTTTTAAGTATTTTTAATGAAGGTTATGAATATAAGCTTGTTAGGTTATGTTCGAAAATTAGAAACTTAAGTTCGAAAACATTTTTAAATTTTTGAAATAATCTGCAGATCATAAGGATTCATACAAATATACATAATTTTAGTTTTATTTGAGCATAAATTCTTGTATTTTCCACTTTCGAACTTGAAAATTATGAAAGAAATTTCGAAATTTTCCAGAATTTTGAAGTTTTTTAATAAAGTTTATGAATACAAGCTTTTTAGGTTATGTTCGAAAATTCGAACTTAATTTCGAAAAAATTTTAAAATTCTTGAAATAATCTAAAAATACAATATCAATTTTATTCGAACACAATATTTTAGTATTTTCCACTTTCGAACTTTAAAATTTTGAAAATAATTACAAAATTTTCACAAATTTTAAAGTATGTTTAATAAAGGTGATGAATATAAGATTTTTAGGTTATGTTCCAAATTCGAACTTAATTTCGAAAAAAAATTATAAAGCTGATCATAAGGATTTATAAAAATATAATTTTAGTTTTATTCGAAAACAGTTTCTAGCATTTTCCACTTTCGAACTTTACAATTTTGAAATTAATAACAAAATTTTCCCGAATTTCGAAGAATTTTCAAAAATTCGAACTTAATTTCGAAATTTTTTTTTAAATTTTTGACATAATCTCTATATATTGAGGATTCATAAAAATATAATTTTAGTTTTATTTGAGTTAAATTTTTAGCATTTTCGCTCGAATTTAAAAGTTTTGAATTTAGAAAAAATTTCAAAAGTTTCAAAATAATTCTAAAGTTTTTCTTGAATTTCAAAAATAGTTTCAAAATAATTCTAAAATTTTTCTTGAATTTTGATGTATTTTTAAGCCAGTTTATAGGTTATGTTTGAAAATTTTCGAAATTTCGAAAATAATCATTTAAAAAGTCACATTTGAATATATTTCAACATTTAAAAATTCATGTTTAGTTTTATTTTTTAATATAACAAATTATGTAGTTAATATCTTAAACAATATGTACTTTTTTTTTATTAAAGGATAATATAAGTAAAATTAAGGAAAAAAAAGTAAAAAAACTAAAAAATTTAAAACTGAATTCAATTCATAATAACAAAAATAAAAAATGTGAGGATTAAACATTTGCCCATTAAAAACTTTGTTAAATTCATTATTGCGTTTTCTCTAAATAACATGAAATTTACACATAATTTTTCAAAATTTATAGAGATGCTAAAACTACTAAATAATTTGTAAAGAAAAAAAATGGGAAAAAATAAATATCAAAAAAAAAAAATATATATATATATATATATATATATATATACCAAAGAATATTAAATTGAGATAAAATCGTTAAGAGTTTAATTTTAATATTATGTAGTTTGTCTACTATCCGATTGATTTTTACAAACTTTACTATGACCATCTTTCCAGTGGCGTGCCTGACATATTTCCGAACAATAAGCAGCACGAAAGCAACATAAATAAATGGCTTCTTCCAGACACCAATAACACTAAAAATTTATGATAAAAAAATAAGCTTAAATGTGAAATTTTAACTTGTTTTCTCATACCCATTGTTTACGTTTCAGTATTTTACATTCCATTTCTTGTTTCTTAATGGTTTCTTTTAATTTACGCTTTTGAGCTTCCAGTTTTTCATTTTTCTGTTTATATTCATTTATAACTTTATGAGCATTCTCCAGTTCATTTAACTAAAATTTAAAGAAATTAGTTTCATTCTTAACAATTTTATATTTTTAAACATTTACCATTTTAAGTCGATCATCGTTTTCTGTTAACTTAATTGTTTTACGGGTTGAACGTTTACTACTATTATTGTTATTGTCTTCCTTAGTATTAATATTATTTAAATTATTAGTTTTCAAACGTTTTAACGATACTGATACTTCAGTACACAAAGTCGTTTGACTGTTGGTTAAAACATTGTTATCCTCATTAATGCTGTCTTGCGATAAGTTTAAATTAAATTGATTATCCTTGGGGGTTTTTCCAATCGTTTTTGTTATAGTTAAAGAATTTTTACGTTTACGTTTGCCAGGCTTTCCCTTGTTTAAACTACTATCCATTGATGCAGAACCTAAAACATTACGTATGATTTCTTCGGTTTGTTGAGGATTTGCATGGAAACTAAATGCACTTGGTGGATAAGATGATAAGGTTTGATGATAACGTAATTCTTCCATTGCCTTCTTAATGGCTGGACTATTTCCCAATTTAAGTGACTTGGTATCGGCATCAATGGGTTTAATGTAACGCACATCGATTAGGGCACGTGAATGATTACCACCAAAGAAACGTACATCGAATTTATTATTGGGTAAAACGCGTATAACTTTGGCCGGCCAATAGGGGAAACCGCTGTGTTTTGCATAAACCAGTTCATGACGTTGTACACAAGGCATGGCAAACCAAACAGCAGATTGTTTTTCATGTGAGTAACGAAAGCAGTCCGGACATCGGCGTATTTCCGAAAGATCATGTGTGATGTCGCGTAATAACCATTTGGTAGATTCCATTTCTGTACTGTAGGCTGTAAGTAAATGTAGTGTGAAATTTTACTTCAAGCTTTAAGAAAGCTTTTTTCCAAATGCATTAACTTTAACATTAAGCTTTAGAAAAATACTCATACAAAACTTTAGGAAATATTTTTACCAAAAACCTTAAGAAAGCTTTAGAAATGTGTTTTATAAAAAGTAAAAAAAAAATGTTCAAAAAAGCTTTTATTCTTAAAAAAAAATAATTTTCCTGAAGACTTTATTACATAAGTTTTTTTGTTAAAAAGCTTTAGGCAAGATTTTTCATAAAAAACATTAACGAAAAAAGCTCTTTTAACTTTTAATTAAAAGCTTAGAAAAAGTCTTTAGAAAAGCAAAAAGCTTTCAAATAGCTTTTTTGTAAAAAAACATTTAGAAAAGCTTAAAAAAACATTTTCGATAGATAAAATTTGTAAACAAAAATATAGGAAATCGTTTTTCCAAAAAGCTTTAGTAATAAAGCTTTAGAATTGTCGAAAAAAGCTTTAAAAAAGCAACAGCTTTCTTAAAAAAGCTTTTCTACAAAAACCTCAAGAAAACTTTTATTGCAAAAAGATTTTTTCATAAAAATCGTACAAAGATTTTTTAAAAATTAATAATTTTTGTCAGATTTCTTGCAATAATTACATATTTCCCTAAAAAAACAAACTTACCCCCAAAAAACACTCCAATACTATGTTGAATATCCAATAAATCCACTAAAAATTCCATTAGAAATGTATATTCTTTTCTATCCAGTTTCCCTGTTACATCATCCAATCCCCTAATAGTGGAATGTAACATTAAACGTGCCACAAGATTAATTTCCGTTTCATTTGCACGCATCGCTTCTAAATACGTACGAACATCATGTGTTAACCATTCGCGATTATAAGAAAATGTAAATTTAACTAAATGACATAATTCATCTGCTTGTAAATTGGCAGGATTGCGTAAATCGGCACGTTTGAGTAAACGACAACTGGTACACAATTCCAAATCATGTTCATCTTCTTCGTTGGGTGATATTTCACTTTTATACGAAATACTAGACGCAGTAGTATTGGGTCGTTGACGATTTGGTGGTCGTATTTCACCCATACAGACCACTTCAACTTTTGTCTTACTTTCAATATCATCTAATAAGGGTTTACCTTCTGTGTGTACATTACTGCTGTTAAGATCGTTAGCAGTAGAGGGAGAAAAGCTGTCCATGTTGGTTATTTCTTCGGCTGCATTAGGCTGTTGATGTTGTGGCGTCCAACTGGCGGTAGAATTTTGATCTAGCTGTGTTAGTGAAGAATTAGCTCTTATATCACTTTCATAACCCAGAGCGGTAGAACAACGTACTGTGCCCATATCATCAGTTTCCGATTCGGTGTCCGAACTAAATGCCGGCAAACGATTTTTCTGTATGCGCGATGAAGGTACAGTATAATTGGGACGCTCAGGGTTTTTGCGATAACACAGGCGATGAAATGAACGCCAACATTGACGACATTCCTCCAACATGCCGGGTAAGTGGCATTCATAACAATATAAATCGTGAGAGGTCTTCTCTTTGATCTCTTGTAGTGTGGGTAAACGCAAACGTTTAAGTTCAGGCACTACAGCTCTGGGAGAACGTGGTGAAGACACTGTGGCCGATACAGGCATAAGCAAACCATCACGTAAAGCATTAGCCACAGTTTCCTTTGCGGCCGCTTATAATTTTTTTAATTAATTTTTATTTTGCAAAAAAAAAAAATTAAGCAAATATTAACTTACATATAGAATAGTTGCCTTTTTTTAGTAAAACATCTACCAAATTGTCGACCGAACATGATTCCTCACGTCCATTTTGATGATGGCTATTTTCCTCATGGCTGCTACCATTGGGACTGCGTAAAACTTTTAGAAAGTAACGCAAACAATCTGGCTGAGCTTTGCGTATAACTTGAGACATGTTTTTATGTTGCATGCAATTTTTAAATTAATTTTATGATTTTTTTACACATTTTTAACATAATTTTGTGAGGAAATCTAATAACTGTTTATTAAATTTAAGCAAAAATTGGAAAAGTGTTTTTGTTTCCACACTAACAATCAATCACAGTGGTAAAGTGAAATACAAACAATCACAGTAATGAAAGGCAACAGCTGAGTAGAGTTCTATAGTTCAAATAAGAAGTCGACTTTTTGCAATTTATGAAAAGTCAACTTTATTATACACTTCACCTTTATGAGAAGGATATATAAGTTTGTCAATCCATTTGTAATTGTAAATTACTCATTACTTAATAATGATATCGGGAAAAATTCTACACGATTATATTTTTTATAAGTACATACAAATCATTCTGTCAAAGTTTTTCCGGATCGGTCCATAATTGGATATAGTGCCCATTTGGTATGGAGATACATTTTTTCACAAATATACATACCTATATACAAATCATTCTGTATATTTTTGTCCAGATTGGCCCATAATTGGTCGTAGATCCCATATAAAGCTCTCTACTAAATCAAAAATCACTTAATCGTAAATAACTCAGGAATTAATAATGATATCGGGATAAAATTCTAAATTAATATGTTTTGTATATATTCTGCAAAATGATTTTCAGATCGGTTCTTTATTTGTTTATTATTTAAGCTTACAAAATTTATGATCAACTCTCGACTTTACACTGAGCTGCAGCTCTTTTTCAAAATCGTAACGCTGATTTTCTTCCAGAAACGAACTTAATGCTTCATCCTTATCTAAATGAGCAAAAATAATTTGTAAACTCCGTCGAGGATAGGAAATGTATAATAGCGAGTTAAAATTCGTAGGCAAACTATACAAAGCTACCTTTTCCTTATCGTTACTATCTGCAATAACATAATCGTCGTCATCATTGGCAATACTATTAATTTCCATATGATGAAAATAATATTTAAAGGCGCGCCATATAAATATCAGTAATGATAATGCGATTATTGAAGCACCAAAGATATGACAATATTTTTCTAGTTTGTAAACGATTTGTAACAATTGAATAGAGTTTTTGGTGCGCATATACAACATGTCAAGCCAAAAAACTGGAAATAACATACGACGTTTTGTTTGATATGATCTGAAAATTTTGTAAGGGAATTGTTAACAACTTTAACTTTTGGGGCCATATATTTACAACATACCTTATATGAGAACGTGGTTCTATGTAGAAATTCAATTGAAATTTAGCTCTAAGTTCCAACATTAAACCTGTACGTGGTTCTAATATAACCGTAGTTGTATACATTTTTTCATCCGATTTTAAACCGTCTACTTTCGATATAAAGTATGTATCGGCAATTGTAAAATGAGGATTTGAAACAAAAAGCGGTAGACCAAACCAACAAGCGGAGATGTTAACTACACCGTACGGTAGACATTCACCATTACAAAAACATTCGTTGGCCGCATTTAATGTTCCATTATCAAACATATTCGATGATAATATATAACGATATCCCAAAATACCATCCACCTCTACTTCATCCTTATAATCCATATTTACTGTGCGACAGAAATCTGGAAGAAAATATTGTATTGATTTATACTTTTTTAGATTGGACTTTTGAAACTCTCCCGGCGATCCACTTATAGCTGAATATTTCTGCGCGTAAGGTTGAGTATTATTTTTACCCTTCCATAGAAGAAGTTGACCAAATTGTTCCATGTTTCCCACACCAGTGCTTATAGTGTGTGTACCCAGCAAGTTTGTAGAGCCATTGCGCTAATTAGCAACAAAAGTAATGTCTGTAGTTTTGGTAAAAAAAAAACGTTTTCCAATTTTCAATTCTTACCCCATAAATGAAACCAATACGATCCCATGGTACAAAAATTCCCATTGCACTGCGGAACGACGACGGAAATATCGATAATAAATTTACAAGGTTATCCTCAAATCCTTTAAAGAAATACTCTTCAGCAGTTCGCTTCCAAACTATACCATTTCGGTACAATCTCAAGGCCACATCAACAACTGCTCTTTTCATATAGGACCAATCTTTAGTTTTAGAGGCGGCAGACTATAATTTAAGTTATAATTACTGCTTTATATCTGATTTTACCACTAGTAATGCGTTCAAAGTAAATAGTTTATCGTCTAAGGTTCGTTTAGTTTTAGCCTTATCAAAGTAATACCAATGTTTTCTACCATAATCTAAAGTGTTATTTTAATGATGCCACTGGAAGATTTCTTTTTCCGGTATTTCAACAAAACTATAGGGACCAATTTCTTGTAGTTTTGGTTTTACGCTGGGATTAAAAAAATCATCTGGATTTGTCCAGTTGAAAAAATAAAGTTCTAATGTTATATTCACATCAGGTTTTGTCCATATATCGACAATTTTATTTCCGGGACGTAGTTCCAGATGCTGTGAAATTAAAAACAATTATTAGTTATACTGAAATAAATTAATGAGGAGTTTCTAATCCAAATCTTTTGCTTCAAGATTTAAAAAAAATTCGAAATTTTTGAATTGAAATTTTAGTAGTAAAAAAATACATACTTACACTATTTATAAAGCGATTAACAAATATGTTTGAAAATACTATACAGAATACCCCTACTATGGCTAAAAGAATGGCAAAAATTATAAACAAATACTTGGCGTATTTCTTTATCCACTTAATAATTAATTTGGATGCGGATCGTTTCGGCATTTTTAACTGCAATAAATATTCTGAAAATATATCAAACAAATATATTAATTGTTATAATTTTATCTTATATCTCGAAGAAGGAAGAAAATATAATAGTGCTTAAATCTTTATTTTAAACTTGACACTTCCATTTCAAGTTATTTTCCAAAGGAGGACCTTATATAGGAGGGATATGTTTTATTATGGATCGATCCGCATAAAATTTAATAGATTTCTTTTTTTTGTGTTGAATTTCATAACCCTTTCTGCGTTTTAATAAAGTAATTTTCTAAAGGGGATCTTATATAGAAGGTATTTTGGACCGATCCTAATTAAGTTTGTTAGAGATATTTGATTGCTGCCTTATTAACTTATTTATGACTCATTAAACTCGCGTGCTTTTAACTGCAGACGGGAGGATATGGTTAGATTGTTTTAGAATCTAATAAAGACATACATACATACAAACAATATTTAAATGTGTTACAAATTTGATATTTTTTTGTCGAAATTTGTATGTGTTAATAATAATCAAAATATGAAATCAATGACTATAATAACTGGTTTATAAAAATGAAATTCTTAACAAGGTTTATTAGCTAGAATGACTTATATAACCTGAAATTAATATAATTAAAACCACTTGACGTTTTTTTGCTAATTAATTTCCAATAAAAAGTGTAATCTATATATATAAAATTCTAACGTTACTGACTGACTGACTGACTGACTGACTGATTCATCATCGCACAGCCTAAACGGTTGCAGCTAAAGAGCTGAAATTTGGACAGGAGGTTGGTCTCCCGCCAAATAGATCCACTAAGACGGGATTTTTGGAAATTCGAATGTTTAGGGGGTAAAAAAGGGTAAAAACGGGTAAATTCGGTAACCTTATATCTCCTAAACTAGAAAAGATACAAAAACAGTTTAAAGCTTATCGCCGTTCATTTAAAAAATAAACGGACAGGTGTCTGGTACTTTTTTAAAATTCGGCCCCTTTAGGGAATAAACGGGTAAAAACTGTATTTTGGTACTTTTTTCGCACCCCATGTATCTTTTAAACCAGTGCACATTCAAAAAATATTTTTGACTCCTTCATAACTTAACGAAAAAATAAAAATATGAATTTAGTACTTTATGGATATTCGGACGTTTAAGGGGTTAAAATTGTACCTATTTTTGGTACTTTTTTCATAAAACATTGTTTTTGGTTTATTAACTTATACATATGAATACATAATAACAGGCTCCCACTACGATGTTGCAACTTTTGGAATAGAATTTTTATTTCGTTAATGGGGAGGAAAAAAGTACCAAAAGGGGTAAAAACGGGAAATTTGATTTTATTCAACCACAATGATCCAATTTAGAAAAAATTTTAAATTTAGAAACACTAAATATCCTAATGGGGTGTTATTTGGAACCCCGGTATCAAGTGATATTTTTTGGTACTTTTCATTCTCCAACTGGTCCTTTTTGAGTTTTCTATGATATTGAAATAGAAACATGAAATTAATAATAAAGGGACTTTTCGCTACTTTTTCGTTCTACACAGGTAGTTTTTTGAGTTTTCTTTAAAATTAAAGCTAGAAACATGAAATTAAGCATGTAGAGCTCGGAGTAAATGAGAATCTATAAAATGGGACTTTTTGGTACTTGTTCGTTCTCTAAAAGGTACTTTTTGAATTTTCTATAATATTGAACCTAGAAACATGAAATTAAACATGTAGAGACCGGAGTAAATGAGAATCTATAAAAGGGTACTTTTTCGTCCTTCGACTGGTACTTTTTGAGTTTTCTATAAAATTTAACCTAGAAACATGAAATTAAGCATGTAGAGCCCGGAGTAAATGAGAATCTATATAAGGGGACTTTTTGGTACTTTTCGTCCTTCGACTGGTACTTTTTGAGTTTTCTATAAAATTTAACCTAGAAACATGAAATTAGCATGCGGAGGCCTTAGTTAATGAGAATCTATAAAAGCGGACTTTTTGGTACTTTTTCGTCCTTCGACTGGTACTTTTTGAATTTCCTATAAAATTTAACCTAGAAACATAAATTAAGCATGTAGAGCCCTTAGTAAATGAGAATCTATACAAGGGGACTATTTGGGTACTTTTTCGTCTTTCCACTGGTACTTTTTGAGTTTCTATAAAATTTAACCTAGAAACATGAAATTAAGCATGTAGAGCCCTTAGTAAATGAGAATCTATACAAGGGGACTATTTGGTACTTTTTCGTCTTTCGACTGGTACTTTTTGAGTTTTCTATAAAATTTAACCTAGAAACATGAAATTAAGCATGTAGAGCCCTTAGTAAATGAGAATCTATAAAAGGGGACTTTTTGGTACTTT